AACTAGCAAATGTTTTTTATTAGCTCGCAATTTTCTTCAAAACTACTTCAATGAGGAAAAAAATAAAAATTTGGAATATCTATACATGAGGGGCTAATTGATCGGATCTGAAAACTAAGGTCTGACGTTGAAATTTATAGATGGCACTATTAATCAACCATGATAATCCGCGAGATTCGAATTATTGTTGAAAATAATTTGAATAGCTCTGAAAATTAAAAATCTACCGATTATCCAAAATTTGGAGAGGGCTGCTCGTGCCGTTCGTTAACTTCCATATGACCCCCATATTCCTCTCATGATCTTTATTTGGACCCCCATTCTGATCCTTAATTTTGAAGTCTTAAGTTCGAGTACCAAATTTTCATCACCAGAAGTCTATTTGGATTTTAATAATACAGAGAGAGCCCCATATGAACCCTATGGCCCTCATTCTGACCCTCATTTTGACCCCCATGACCCTTATTCTAACCCTCATTTTGACCCCTATTCTGATTCTTGTGACTCTTAATATGACCCTCGCAACCCTTATTCTGACCCTTTATTTCTGAGCGTTAATTTTGGAGTCGTAATTTCGATCACCAAATTTTCATCCCCAAAAGTCGATTTGGAATTTTATAATACAGAAAAAAAAATTCAACGGTCACGGCACCATATCGTAAAATCTCAGATCTGTTTATTTCTAAAGTTTCGGAATAACCTTTCGGTGTACCCTTTCGCCCGATCTCCTCACCTCACGCCCTCCAAAAAGCCAAAGAAATTCCCAAAACATACCTCTGGGAGCAGGCCCCCCATTGCCCGCACCCGTCGAAGCGTGACTCTGCACAGAAGACTTGGTAGTACTACTCGAATTGACGGAATGATGAACGGATTGCGGCAGCGACTGAAGAGTCGTCGAGTGTGAGCCCGGCGTCTCCGCAGGTGTCCTATTGATGTGCACCCTCGACCCGAGATCCCCAGTCAATAGATCAATCAGCAGTGACGGCCTCTGCGTCCTCGACTGTCCTTCATTGGTACTCGGCGCATTAGGATGCATATCCACAACACTTCTCTTCGGTTCCGGCTGCATCTCATCGAACTTCCTGTCCTCAATCTCCTCCTTCAAATCCCTCAACTCGTGCAACAAATCCCCCAACAGGGTGCCACGTGACTTGGGAAACACCACGGTCTCCCCATTGATCTTTGCCCTGATGGAGCTCTGCATATTCCGTTCATGCTCGGAAATCGGTGGCTGTCCTATCTTATGGACGATGAACGGCAGCATCTGGATGTAGAGAGCTGTTCTGTGGGTCACTACGAATTCCAGAAAATTCCACAGATGAATGGAGGCCTCATTCCTCCTATTCAACTGTCGCATTGTCCTCAAGATCTTGGTCCACTCGGTCCTCATCTCCGTCTCGAAGCAGATGGTCATGATCTTCAGGGCTAGAAAGGCCACACGATAAAGCGACAGCGATAACTTGGTCGAAGTCTTCGGATCTCTTGCTGTGAACGTCAAGCTGCCAGCTCGCAGGTCAGCAGTTGCTTTCAAATTCTGGGCGGTGAGGGGTGCTATTTTCGTGCTGGTAGGCCACAGAGTATTGAGAACAGCGACGAGAGCGAATTTCAGATCAGCCTGCCTCAGTTTCGACACATCTTTCCGCCCAGTTCCCACGCGCAGGAAGAGAGGTATCAGAAGATTCAACAGCACATTCTCAGTTCTAATCTGCGAAGCGAACATTGAGTTGCCACCGCAGACGTTCTCCAAGGTGTAGCCCTCACCCAAAGAGATGACGTGAAGAGCGATCAGTCGTAGGACAGTTGAGCAGAAGTGTTGCGGAGGAATCTTGCTCATAAGTGCTGCAGTCGCGGCAGACGTCACTTCCACCTGTCCCATGTCGCCGACGATGAGGGCCTGGCAGGTCGACAGAAGAGTCTTCAGATACTGAAAGTGCGCGATGTAAGGGTACTTCGAGAGCGTCTCGTAGACACCCTTAAGCAGATCGCTTGCCGCCTCCCAGTCTGTGTTCCTTCTCACAGAAGCTTTCTTGTAGATCTTGCTGAAGGTCTTGTCCAGCCTTCGCAAGATCACCGTGAGAGCTGGCCTCATGTCGTCGTTGGACCACTCCGTCGACGGCAGAAGATCGTTCATGTACCTGCGCAGACCCCTGCAGCCCATCGTGTCTGGGTCGTAGGGGGAGATCTTGAGGAGACTGTGCGCTATGTCCGCTAGTCTCACGTGGCACTTGGAGTCCAGCAGCTCTATCGTCTTGCCGTCTTGGGACTTCTTGTTCAGCTCCACCAGTCGCACCGAACACCTCGCCACGAACTCTCCCACCATGTTGAGGAGGGTGTCCCGAGGCCTTCGGAATTCGTTCTTGTGAGACGTCTCAGAGTCCTCGCTGTCTCGGTCGTAGAGGTTCCTGGCCTTCGTGTGCTCCAGGTACTTCGTCGTGTGCGTCTCCTCCTCGAAGTCGAAACCCGGGGAGTACGGACCCTTCCCGTAGTTCCGCTGGCTTGATCCTTTGTGCTCAGGACTCGACTTCTGCGGGCCATTGTAGTACTTGGTCAGGGTTTCGGAATTATTCACGAGTGTTCGAACAGCTATTGCCAACTGATTTATTATCTCCTTCTCCGTCTTTCCTTCACGATTGTACGTGGGCGACTGAATTTGCTGAACATAGCACGGCAATATTGCTTCCAAAATTATCAACATCTGCTGACCCCTTGTGGAATCAGCTGCATACGCTATCACCATGACGCAGAGGGATATGCAGTCCAGTACAGTGACCATCTCGTTCTCGTCGTGGTAACAAAAATCAATAGCTTTCAGGGGTTTTTCTTCTTTCACAAGTTCACCAATGTTGAGGGGATCCGGTGATGGAGTTTCTAAACTCAATAACAAGTTGAAGAGACACGTCGAGGGTACCTGTGGAAAAGTTTAATGTTTGATTGGCTTTGAAATTATTTAAGATGGGAAATTCAATTGTAATTTTCGATGAGGTGAATGAGGGGATAAGTCGGTTTAGTAGATGTTTGAGGTTGGGGGGGGGGGGGGGGGGGCAGATTTGGAGGGCCGCCGAAAAGTTGGGTTGACTCCGAAAGATTTGAGTTTTAGCTTGAAAAAAAATTCTAGTGGCTTCAAGCGAAAGTATCAAGGTCGGTTGATGAATTAGATAATGTGTTGTGTAATGATGTTGTTTTTAATGTACACTGCTGACGTCAAAGCTTTTTTCGACGAGGTTTAATGATTCTTTTGTGGAAGTTTAAACTAAATAATCATTATAAACGTCAAAAACGTGAAAAAATATTGGAATTAAATGTTCAGCAAATTGAAATACCTTAGTTTCTTTATTTCTAACTGAAGAGTAACTCTACTTCAATACAATAAAATATAAAGTAAGTTTAAAAGTGAACTCAAAATGCAAACGTCCGTTGCTGACTCGTAATTTTTGCGCAATTAGATTATTCAATAATATTTGTACAGTAATCGGGGACAACAAAAATAATGTACCTTGTGGGCCTCTCCGTGAGTGCTCGTCTCGTCAGTATCCAAAATAGTGGAGACACTCCCAAACATCTGTAGAATAAATGGCTTACGATTCATCATGTAAAACTGCTTAACAGCATACTCTACGGTAGTAGTAACAAGTTTATTCGTTTGATGTGTTGCGTATAATTGCAATAGCGATGGCATTATCAGTAAATAACCGTTCGTTGAAAATATGTTTTTGAAATTGTGCGCTGCGTTGATGTACGTCGCTACAACGTAACGAAGGATACATGAGTCTTCGCTGTGTAGCACGAGGGCTCCATTCAATACATTGAGGAATAGATGAATATCACCTGAATAGGCAAAATTACCGGCCATTGCCTCGAACATTCGGGCGATCAGACGTACCCACATGAATTTGTGCATTACATCCAATCCCAGTAATTCCTGATGGAGGGAGTCAAATCTTTCAGTTTCAATGGAAACAATTTTATATGAAGTTTCGGAAAGATAAATTGACGTAAAATAACTTACCCTTCCAATTTCACCACCCTTGTATAAATCAAGATCTGCCTCGAGTGCTTTTCTCGGGAAGGATGGTAACTTCATAAGTTCCTCGTGCAAAAATACGACTCTCTGAACTACCATATCGACATTTTTTAAAATAGCCCACGTAAGCAATGTTTTTCCAATTTCAACGAATTTGTGAACTAACTCCTGCCTCTGTAGGGCATTGAAGGCATCTTCTGGTTTCATATGGACAAGCTCGAGTTGTGGATACTGTGATCTCTTGAAAAAATAGTAATCGCGTACGTAGGATGAAGGATTATGAATTTGATCTGGAAAAAATCAATTAAAACGGCTTCATTTCGATGATTTACCAAATTACATCACATGCACACGAAAAATTGTCTGAAATTAAGACACTTTGTCTTCTTTTTTAAGACGTTAGAGTCCTAAATTGTATCTTGAATTGAGACAAAAAAATGTCTTCTTTCAAGACATTCGAAATTTCAGTCGCATTTTTGTGTCTAATGTCTTGAATTAAAACAACTTGAAGACATTACACGGAAAGAATATAGAATTATTTTTTCCTGTGGGAACATAGTAATTCTTAATATGAGAAGTAGAATGCAGAACCATATGTACCACACCCGAAAATTTACGATTCAACATAGTAATTTTTAAAATAAATGAAAAACTACGACTGACAAAACTAAAATGTGATGGAGTCCGTTGAAAAAATTACTGTTGAACTTAGTAAAAATTGAGAGACGATATAGTAGTAAATGATAGAATAAAAGTTGAATTTCCAATTGACACGAGTAAAATTTAGGAGGATAAACATGAATTTTTACTTCGTCAGTTAACCAAATATTCCCTCCCCCCTTTCGAAATGAATATTCGCGGAAGAGGACGAGGGAGAGCAGGATTTTTTGAATAACCGCAGGGAAAAACCATATTTAGTCTTCTTTATCATCCTGGAAAATTATTATCAATAATTTTGTTCCACATATATTCATTCTGAAAAAGAGGAGGCGGGACAGGAAAAATTGAACTTTTTAGAATTATAGAGTCCGCCAGCTGGGCCATTGCGTGATCGACGGAGGGAGGAAATTCCAAGAATTGAAAACAATCGACGCTCTCGTCGTCCGCTGGAGTTTTTACTAGTCAACACAGTAATTTCTGCTATTTCCTCGAGTAAAATGTAGCAGGCGCGAGACTATAAACTAAAGTTTTGAATCGTAAGAAGAAATTACAATTTAACATAGTAAAAATTCATAGGATTTGAGTAATTTTTCGTCGTTCAATAGTTAAAATTGGTAGAAAAATAAAGCGTTTTTAATACTTTTGAAAATTATTTTTTCGTCCGTGCATTTTATACTGATTTGTCCGTTAAAAAATACAATATTGAATCGGAAAAAAAAATGAAATTCACATCGGGAACGTACCATGTTCACACAGCAATTATTAATTTTATATTCTCCCCGTGTACTTTCTGCAGCGTTCAAAATCATACATTTCAAGGAACTCCAGGGGGTGAAAACTTTCTCATTACCCGGCCCCCGAAATATCCGTTGCCCCACGACTCTCAGGTATTCACCATCTCAACATACAATTCAAAAACTTTTTCCTCCACTCTAAAACCCAACCCCTCCCGCATCACCCCAAGTGCTCCATTGAAACCCAGTACTCTCCAGTGTTTCCCCCGGAACTTCCTCGAGATACCCGAAAAAAATAATCCAAGTGCAAGCAACTCACGTGTTTTATAATCAACAAGAAAGTACTCCTTATGCTTCTGCTCCTCGATCCCGAAGAAATCCAGGCTCTCCCTGAGAATCTGACAGAACTGCGTGTCCTCTTGCACAGGAAACTGCGATGGAATGCCCCCAGCATCGGGATCCTGTGGCCCATGCACAATGATCTTCTTCGCTGACGGAACATTAGCCGTCAGTAAGATGGACGCATCGCACTGCTCCTTCCTCAGAATCTGCTTCAAATCCTTAAACATAATCCCGTGAACACTGTGCACTACCATCCAGAGAATGGACAACGCCGTTCCGATGAGTTTCTGTCCCTCTTCATGCGGCGATCTCACATAGAACATCACATAACCGATGATGTAATTGTAAAGAGCGAAGGCCGCTTGCTGCGGCAATTTGGGGACAAATCTTATCAGATGTCTCAGGATCTTGAACATCAATTCCTGCTTATCCCTGGTGAGTCTCTCGAGAACATAGCGCAGGAAGAGTGCGCTGTCCTCAACGAGACAGCTCCATATCACTTGATAAGCCACTTCATAAACAGCATTTCCATCGTCCGAGACAGCAGCATCGTCGAGAAGATTGATTATCTGGACAATGGCGGAGCACAAAGACGAAGGAAACAGGGACAAAGCCGACTGACTGTGATGAGACGTGTTGCGGGGGACAGCCTCCCCCGCCTCGTCGTCCACATCCTCGTGATCATCTCCGACGGGACTGGGCTCATAAGCCGCCTGCACGGTTATAGGAATTGTTGTTATGAGAAAGCTCTCTCGCTCCTCGCGCTTCTTATCGTCCTGCTCTTGAAGGGCCTTCTTTATCGCCTCAGTCTGCTGCTTCTTCCGGGTTTTGGTCGCCGTTACGACGGATCTGTGACGCTCTTGGTTTATCGTCACTTCTTCGACTTTGGTTTTACCCTGGGGCATCCAGGGTGGGTCGACCACTGGGAGGGACTCTATTCCGATTTTCGGGGAGGGAAGGGTGAACTCGATGCCCGGGGGTGGAACTTTGAAGGTCAGGTGCGCCATTTCTTCCATTCTCGGCCAGACCTGATACCTGAGCTTCCAGAGGACTTGGAATCGGAGGATTGCGTTGATGCGGATGGCCGGGGATGTGTGCTGGAGACCCTGGTGCATTATCTCGCTAGCTTGGTTTGGGGCGCGCACTGCGGAGACTATAAATAGGGACGCCGCGGAGGCCGCCACTTCCTGGTTGGGCTCTAGGAGAAGCTCCCAGGCGACTGGGAGGACCTCCGCGAAGAGATCGTCAGGCATGACCACAGCACCTTTGACGAGGGTCGCCAGGGGGGCATGAAATGCAGTTTTCACCTGCTTCGTTATGTATTTGAGGATGGCCGGGGGCTCGTGGTTCGAATCGTCGTCGTCTTCCGAGGAGAATTTCTTGAAGGAGTCTCGGCCCCGGTCCGAGTCCTGATCCAGGTCCTTCGAGGAGTCTCGATTGCCACCTGTGAGGCGACCCGACTGCGAGCCCTCCAGACTTTTGTCGATTCTGGGGGGAATGGGATCCTCATATTTTATAACTCATGAGGATGAGGAGGGCTCTAGGAATTCATCCCAGACAACTTACAAGCACTAGCTACAGTGGAATCCATACAGAAAATATATATTCTGAAAATTATATATTTTATATATGGAATTGACCTGATTTATACATAAAAGTTATATAAAATATATATGAAACATATATAAATTTATATTTTATATAACTATACGCAAGTCAACTGTCTATTTCAACTCAATTGTCAGAGTTGAAAAGCAGAGTTCGCGGCAGAGATGTCAGACAAGATGTGAATGTTTTTTTGGGCCCGAATGAAAGAGCGAGTCTCGAAATGGCGTGCAAATGATTCTAAGGATGATTTTTTAATCGGGGGAAACTCCTAGTGTGCACTAACGGAGGTGAACAGTTATCCGAGTGGAAATTCTGTTCAGGTCTCGATCAGAAATTGATCAAGTCCGATCCTAAATTCTGATCAGGCATGTTACGCCTCTGCCTTATGTTTTTCCACTAGGGTATGGAAGTTAGGAAGGTAGAGTTGCCAGATTGGGCGATTTGCCGCCAAAGGGGGAAATTTCGAAGTTCCATGGGCCTCAACATAGAGGCGTTGGCAATTTGGCGATAATTTGGCGAATTCATAATGTTTAGGGCCCGAGGGAAAACATATTATATTATATTTGAAATAATATTTGAAAAATGTTGATCACTAGCGAAGAGACCTCTCAAATATCTGGAAACCCTGATGGAAGTTCCACTGTAGTTGTAAAGGGTGGGTTCTGTCAGATGCTCTACGTTTCGAGATAAAACTTCAGAAAAAATTACGCGGCAAAACGTAAAATTGATACGAAATCCTCTCTCGGGAATTTTGACGTAAAGTTGTGGTCAGCGATTGCATGATGATAACAACGCCGAACGCTCAACATTCTGCTAATTCGATGGGTCACGCACTTCATGCATTTTCTTACTCCAAACGAAAATATGAAAAAAAATGGGACGAAGCTGTCACGGGATGCGTTTGTGGGAGAACATCCCGGGATGAATTAACCGGATACCAAACGAGCTTTTGCGTTTCTTAACACTTCCACTAAATTACTGTTCGACCAATTTTGAAAGGATCTTTTCATCACTTACTTGAACTTCCTTCCGACGCTGTCTTTTCTCCGAACCGGTGAAACCTGCGCACTAGTCTGATCAGACACCTTCCGCCCTCTCTTATCCTTCTTCCCATCGTCCTTCTTATCCGCATCGAAGTCAAAGGTACTCGTTCCATTGATAACCCCAAACTCTTCGCCGTAAACCTTTCTCACAGACTTGATGAGCCTCCCGCAGGCCCTGATCTGCCTGCGATGGCAGTAAGGATGACAGAAGTTCTGGTGTGAGCAGTAGAAGTTGAAAGAGCCTGCTGTCTGCGCGAGCACCCTCATCCAGGGAAAGTTCTTGTTGGTCTCGTCTGTGTCGTTGGAGTCACTTGGGCTCTCCGGTGGCTGATCATCACTGAGAATGCCAGGTGACTCTTCACCACTTACTTCGCCGCAGTACCCCGGCTCGGAGGTGTCACTGCGATCCGACAGCGAACTGACTTTTCGCTTCGACTGGATGGAATCGGCGCGTCTCACAGCATCTATCGATCGAACAACTCAATAGAAGTGAACAAAAGGAAGGAATCATTATCCCTGGGGGTACTACTGAAGAAACTCCCAAATCCTTTGAAATTTCATCGTCAGGGGTCTCTGTTGACCTTGAACGTCTTCGAATTATACACCAGCTCCTCAAAAATGTAACATTCAAATTTAAAATTAACAATGGTAAAGGTAGTTAAGAACCCACATCAACGAAAACTGGAACCTAAATCTATGTTATAGTTTGAAGACTAAGTTCAGAATAACTAAATCATCTGGGATGAAATTTCAATGATCCATTGAATCCTCGGTTCTATAGACTACCAAAGAACGTGCGTGATACATCAACTAGAGGCACCAGATAAGCTACAGGGAGGAAAATGAAGTGCGCAAATGACTGAATGACGATGAAACAATTGTCGATGAATAGTTGAGAGAGCACGTCAAAGATAGCACACTTAATTTTCACCACCCCCAGACAACGGCAATGACAAAACTTACAAGCTTCACACTCCATATCTTTGCCTTCCTTAGTACCCCGACGTAACTTTAAACTACGTCTTTTGAATGATCCTGTATTTCCAGCTGTTCCACGTCTCAGTAGAAATGGCCTGGCTGTCTGTTGCTGTACTTTCTTCTTGTCCCGATCGAAAGCCTCCTCCCCCTGTATTGTCACCGTTGACTTGCTGCTACCCTCGGACTCGTTGTCAGGCTCATGAAGCACAAAGCTGATCTTTCGTTCTGAACGAAAGTCGAGGGCGATTGAGTCAGATGTTTGATGATTGATGATGGGATTTGCACAATTCCAATGGCCTTTCTCGATAGACTCCCTCAACTCACCAGTCTCACGATCGCCGGCGATCGATTGAAGACTCTGAGCTGATGTCTGTGAGTGTCCCATCGATGACAGGGCCATGCTCCAGCGACGATTAGCGTCACGGGAGTACATCCTCTCCCAGGGTGGTGGACGATCCTTCGTGGAGAGACGACTGGATTTTGGCAGGGTTTGGTAGGTTTCGCGGAGAAATGCCGTTATCTCCAGGAGGAGAATGCAGGCGACCATTCGGAGGGCGACGGGACACTGGGATCCGTAGGTGTTTATGCTTGCTGAAAGGTTTTTCGTTCAGTGCACGATGAGAATGTATATTAAAAATTACTGTGTGAATATAGTAAGCAAGGACCATACCGGAAAAACTTTGAAATAGGATTAATTTCAATCGAACGTTTGCAATGTGTCAAATCACTTAAAATCACATGAAATTACTTGAAACCAACAATCATTGTGTCATGATATTCAATAGTCAATAACCCCTCGAATTTTTCCAAGAGACTCCATCATATATTGATTTTCTCAGCCGTATTTTTCCGTTTGTTCTCAAAATTACTATGTTAAATAGTCAATTTTCGGGTGTAGTCGATTATTTTCTGCATTCTATTTCTCATATTAACAAGTACTACATTCCCACAGTAAAAAATAACTATATTCTTTCCGTGTGAAAAGAGCCATTTGGCCCGGAAGAGACTATCAAAACGAGTGCCTTAAGACGTCGTACCTTCATCTAAAAAATCTTCCTCTTCATCCTCTACCACCAGCTCCCTCTGCTTCGTCTCGTCCGACATCATGGCAATGACTTGCTCCACATTTTGTTTATCCTCATTCAGAAATTCCTCTAGCCTCGCACTAATTGCCTAGATAATCACCACAAGAAACCCTCCATTACTCCCCCGACTTCTCCATCAAATCATCATCCAATCATGTTCTTATAATTTACCTCAGCCCATTGATAAAAAAGTTTGCCAGCTGCCCGCTGAAGTATATGAGTCCGTCTGACCCCAGTCGGTACATTTCTACTGCTCATCGGAACCGAGGGCCTGAAAACCGGAAGATTTATCTTCATCCAAGTCGGCCAGTGGCCCTTGTTGCACTGGTGCACAAGGTGTGCACACTCTAGGAGTAAGGAAGCTCGCGACACCACCGGGGCGTACGGAAGATCAAGTACAGCTGCTATCAAGTGGTGATCTGGGACAGCGCCGGGCTGACAGGTCTCCAGTAAAAATGAAAATCTCCTCATTCCCTCGTAGACAGCTGATCTAGGAACTAGACGGCGTTCTTTGAGAACCACAAACTCGGATTCGCGGCAGGAGTCGCCGAGATCCATTGAATTTCTTCTACTAAAATCTGCAGAGAGAAGCACAGAAAGAAGCATTTCTCCGACAAATTGCTGGACTAGCAGTGTGACTACTCACAATTTCTAGGGACCTCTTCCATATTCTCTTTCTTACTCCTCTTTGTGAGACCAATTTTCACCAGTTGATCCTCCATTCGTCGTTTAGCTCTTTGCAACGTTTGACCGACTCTGAAATAACAGAACAGCATTCGGTATTGCTCGAGTAATTGTATTGATCAAAGTGAAGAGTCAAATGTTTACCCTCGCCCTGGACGAGTGACTCGATAATGCCCACGACGGAGACTAGGCTGTCTCCCAAAACTTCCTTCCGTAGGTGATTCGCTACTTTCGTGACTATCTGTTGAATCTGTCCTACCGTACTCTTTCCTAAACCAATTAACTAGAAGGAAAAACAAGTGTTATCACCGCAAATGTCCGTGGACTCAAGACAAAGCTCATCTAGCCCATTCCCTAGACAGTGTAGGGCGAAATGGACCAGGCGGGCAAAATGAACTTCTTTATTTTTTCATTTATGAAATTTCTTATTTCTTATGAAATTTTCGAGTATGACGATTGTGCATATTGCTTAACATAAAAGAATTATTATTGTCATTTAAAAATGCGTCCAATTATTGATTTGTTAATTTGATTATTCTGTTATTTTTACGTGCTATTTAGATCGAAAAAATATTGCTGTGAGTTTGGAAAATCGAAAATATTCTTTTCGCGATTTCTGAAATTTCCATTTATCTGAATTACTATGGAAATTACGGTTGTTCCTAATCACATTCCGATTGATTCTCATTGTTTTCCATAATATTTATAATGCTCCTTTTTACACTAAATGACAAATAGTTGATAAAATTATTATTAAAAAAAAGCGCTCAATTTTTTTCAGGACCATTTTGCCCTCCCCTACCTATTCCCCCCATTTGAAATCTCGTAGCTTTCTTTGACCTCCCCAAGCAAGCCTCCCCAATTCCCAAATTCCGTTCACTCTGTCTGGGCGTCAGAATATGATGCTTTTTCCTCAAATTCCCGAGAGGACTCTGACTAGCCTTCACAGTCTCCTCGCTCAACTCAGTCTCCAGCAGACTCTGCAATCCGAAAGCATCAGATTGCTAAACATAAAACGTAATAACGAGTCCGATCAAAATGATTCATAAATTTGGCTATTAGGTGGACTCGACATACCGCGCAGGTGGACGAAGTGCTACGTTTCTTGAAGAGGAACTTTCTTGCTCCCCTGTCATCCGCATAACAGGCCTCCCCCGCCAAATCAGCGTTGTCATCATAATCCGATTGATGAATGTGTCTAATTACCCTTGTAGTCCTTATGTTACTATTGCACCTTTTGTTAGGCCTGTCTGACGCATCTAGAATGCCACTCAGCGCTACCCGACGAAACACCCCGCCATGCATCTCTTTGACATACGTCACAAACTGCTTTATATCGCAGTAAATAGAAATATTTTCCTGGGTTTTGAGTTCCTTCGAGTTTGTGACGAAACGTGTCACTAATGTTTTGAATATACATCCTAAAATTTTATTCTCTATACTTCTCGATGAGTAACCTACGCCTCCATAGGAGGCAGTTGCTGACGCAGCAGTGGCCGAAGCTAACGCCGAGGCCGTTGCTGCTACCTGGAGAACCAAAATTTAGAAATTTATCATTTTTAGATGGTCAGACGATCCAGAATGACGAAAATATTGGACGGGTGCGTACCGACGCCGATGGGACTCCCAGGGGTGTCCCAGCGCCCAAACCAGCGCCGAAATTCGTGGCATAACCAGCCTGTGGCTGCACCTCGGGGGACTTATTGGCATTTCGTTTAAGATCTGAAAGCCAGGCATCCAAATTGATTAAAAATCTGAATCATGTAGTAAGGATATCCAAGTGAGACAGCCCTTGCGAACTATTTTTTTGATATTTTGTTCGTATTTCAATAAATCTCATGCAATCCCAAAAATTCGTCCTGCAAGATTGACTCAACCCCCCGAAAGTCCCACCAGGATATCCTTAAACCCTCGAGCTCCGCCAACAACCACCGAGCCCAAATTACTCACTAAGCGGTGATAATAACGAACTTGGATCAACACAGAAGCCCACATAGGCATGGAAAACCTCCAGGATCTCTGTGATCGGCTGTTCGCGCACCATATTGCGCAGCCATCTCGAGAACAGCCTCGAGCTGGCGCAATTCAACTTAGTGAGGATGGTCTGGGCCTGAGACCTGTAGAAATCGGCCTGAGGCCCGCGAATCCCATCGGCGCAGCCATGGGTACACCCCAGGTGCTTGATCACCCTGAGAACAGCATTCATCATCAGTGCATGGGAATTCCAGTTGCGCCCCTCGAGATCATTCCGAGGGTCTTGCTCATTCACTGGTGAATCGTATTTTCTGCTGGCTGTTTCTGCCTTCTCGTCGTTGGCCGAGCCCGCATTGCTCCCAGTTTCGTCCCTGATGCAGGCCTTCAGGACACCCATCTCTATCAAGAGCTCAATGAGGTTCAGAATGCTCTCGCAGACCCTAAGGGTGCAGCACGTGGTGTCCCGCAGGGAGACTGAATGGACAGCCTGAAAAATTTCAGACTTCAGTCGCTCTGAAATTGGTTGGAATCATTGGCTGGAGGTGAGGCATGAGGGGGACTACCTTCAGCAGCACCTGAAGATCGATGTCTCCTGTTTTCGTGATGTAACACGCGGATCCTGGCGCTTCCGGGATTTCGTCGCCAGTGTAGGTGATGTTTGAGTCAGTCTGGGATCTCGTCAGACTTGGCTTCCTCTCGGAACTTAATCTACTACCGTGGATGCTTATTGCATCCAATTGACTGTCTATTGACCCCTGAATCGTCCCAAAAAACAATCACTTTGGAGATCTAGATGTCCCTTCAAGGCTTTAAACTAAGTCTAGGAAAGGGTAGGGCAAAACAGACTCCCTTATTTTTTCATTTATGCAATTCTTTGAAATTTGAGTGAACCTGTCTCTTTGCGATAGTACCGGAGAGTGCATTCAGTGTCAGATATTCCTAAGATGGACTCATTATATGTACGAATTAATCTAGACGATTTTAAATTTGAGTGTGACGGTTACGCAGAATATTTAATATAAAAGAATTACTATTGTTATTTGAAAATACGTCCAATTATTGATTTGTTAATTTGATTATTCTGTTATTTTCACGTAATTTTTAGATGAAAAAAATCTTGCTGTGAGTTTGGAAGGTCATAAATATGCTTTCCCCAATTTCTGAAATTTCCATTTATCGGGATTACTATGGAAATTACGGTTGTTCCTAATCACATTCTTGTTGATTCTCATTGTGTTCCACAGCAGTTATCATGTTTATTTTCACAATAAATGACAAATAGTTGATAAAATTATAGTGAAAAAAAAGCACTCAATTTTATTCGGGGCGTCCATTTTGCCCTACCTTCCCCTACTTGTTTCGGTGGAAATATCTTACCTGACGTTTCAAATAATCTGGTGAAGGGGTTGGTGTGTGCTCAGTCACAGTGATTATAGGATTTTGTGCTGTACATGATTGACTATAAAATCTTCCCTGCTTCCTCTCAACTTTGGTATCACCGATGTAACTGAATAACCAGGAAGACATGATTAGAAATGATTTTTTATTACTCTATCTTGCTCATGCCATTCTGTTCCTATTCTGGTAGCAGTCAAGCAACTAATGCTCTTCTACGAGTCCTCTATAATCCTAGAACCAATTGTCTTCGGAGTGATAAGCTAATGGCATTCGTGAGGCTACTCAAGGTTGTCTGACCGTTTAGTGAATTTTTCACTGATCGTGACCGATCGTTAGTTTTTCAGTGATGTAGCTTGTGCTGTTCTAGGGGTTTATTCATGTTTAGCTTTTTTTTATGCTATTGGATTAATTTTTGCTTAATGTGGAGGGCTAATCAGTGCGTGCGTCTGGAGTGAAGCCGTAAGTAAAAGGCAATCAAGGAGGCAGTGAGAATTCACTCGAGGATATCCGAGTTTGTGTCCGGGTCTTCTATCGTTCACGAAAAAATTTTTTTGGTGAACTTCAACAACTCATTAATTAATTTCGAATTCTTAATAACGAAATTACGTGAAATTTCAACGAGAAAAAAAATTCCAAGGAATTCACAGGGAGTTTCACCCAAAAATGTTTAACAGTGTTATCTATAAAAAGTAACCAGCTTGAACCTCTAATTCAATAAATTCAGTCAATTTTCAATAACATCTAGATGGTGAGGGCATAGTTATATACATTTGGAAACAATCCCGTAATCATTTGTCTCTTGATAATCGATCGATGTCTCATCTAGAAGTTGCGTCCGCAATAGTCTACAATTTGTTGTTAAATGTGGCCCATCAAAAAAATTGACGAGCATTTTTCAAAAACTAAACAAATTTATCGAATGAAATTGAAAAATCTTTTGTGAATTTCAATTAATAAGTTGTTAAAGTTCAACGACTAGTTGGTGAAATTCACCAAATAATTTTCTCCGTGTTCATTTACTGAATATTAATTATCAGTCGTTGATGATCTGTTATCTCCGCTAATGAGCAATGACTGACCTGGATATCCTCGATGATAAACGAAAAATCATAAGATCATTCGCTTCGCTGATGATTTCAATGTGATTACTTACCCACCCGCGGCGAGTTCGTTAATCAAGCAGCTGAGTTTTCGAGATGAAAGGGGACGAACGAGATAGAGAAAAGAGACACACACATAGATAGAAGTTACGCACAGTTCATACGAGTTAATAAATCTTGATTTATGTGGAAATGAGAGTTAATATCGCAGTAGGTGACAATATTCATCGTTAATCATCAAAGAATTACCCCTTTAGCTCAATTGTGTAAACCTCAACCATCGAATTACTCAATCGTAGACTCGAAAATCGTTAGAATAATCTTTAGTATTCGTTATTTAACCAAACATTGAGAGTTATCAACCAACTTCTTAGCTAAGACTATAGTATTACAGATAGATGACTACGTCCAATCAAAAATGAAACCAAAATATGAAGAGATGAGCGAAAAGGAAATTATTGAAGTCCTACATACCTAAGGCTTGGCATGCTCTTTCCCTTGATCAAGTTCGACGGATACTGCATGCGATCTACGTCACGCTCGTCAAAAATCCTGGACGAGGTTGATGCCTGTCTCGCCAGGTGATCGTCGCCGGTGTCAAGACTTCTGTGAGACTCGTGTTGCTGGAGACCAAGAAGGAGAAAAGGATTTGTGGAAAGTCATCTTTATCTTGGGCACAATGTCTCTTCAGCTGTTCTGCATCATCTATCAACAAGATTGTCCATCGACTAGGGGGTGACAACTATTACCTGATCGATTAAATCCTTAGGCTCGTCTTGGCCAATCTTCTCCAACGCCTTCTCCGACTTGGAGAGCAATTTCGTCTCGACAAACGCCTTGAGATCAGCCATCTTCATCCTCTTCTTGGTCTTCTCACTGGCCCTTCTCACGTGGCTGCCCTCCCCCTCCTGGGACTTGGTGGCGGTGTACGGAAGATCGGCGATTGTGGCTAGATCAGACATGGTCGACGGCTCCCTGCCGTCGGGAATCTCAATGAATCCCTTCATCTCCTCCCTCTTCTTGCTCTCTGGACTCTGATAAATGGAAACCTCGATCTTGGGGATGGGGAGGGAGTTGCTTCGTCTCCTCGGCATTTGCTGGTGGGAGCACTCTTCGTTGATCTGTCTCAGCCGCTGGTAGAGGAACTGCAGGGCCCAGTAGATTCCTTCCTCCTGCCACTGGGACACGAAGAGACATCTCATCACTGCTACATCGAGGAATGTAGCGGCGCGGACGTCGGCTGCTGGACCCCGACTCCGCGACTGAATTGGGGCCTCTGGGGGTGATGGCTCTTGGGGGCCTGAGGGTACGCTTCTGGATTTGGAGCTGTCTGGGGCCGAATCGCGGTCTTTGTCCTCTTTATCTTCTTTCGGTTTGTCGTGCAGCCTGGGTGATATCAAAGATTTCATTATTGATGCTCATTCAGTAGTGAACAGAGATCATAACTAAATTTGCATGACCTTATGAACTTAGAGGATATGATTGCTGTGCATTGAGAGAAAAAATTAGCTCTGCCGAAAAATTATAAGTTCTCCTGAAGAGATCTTTTATCGCGTTGGATGAATTTACTTGTTATGGACGAAAAAGAAAGTGTCCACCAAAACATGATAATTTTCGTAGTCGTAATTGTTCTCATGAGACATTTATATGTCGTTCGGGTAAATACAGTCGTTCTACAGAGAATTCAGTAGCGAAGTGGTAAAACGGTTTAAGTCGACTTATCTCCCAGTTGAGTTTTTGAAGAATATTTCCGAATCTAAGAAAAATACCGAAATTTTCGTAAATACCTTTGTTGTATCTCTCAATCGGCTCTACAAAAAAGAGCCGATTTTTGTTTATAACAAAAATTTTGGTATCTCCCTTAAGTTCCGAGATATTCATTGAAAACCGGCCAATAGTCAGAATTGACTTGGACCGTTTTACCACTTCGCTACTGAATTATATGAGCCTCCGGTTTTATCAAGTGAATGTTATTAAGTAGTGTATATCTTTGTCCAATAAACACTTATAATTTCCATGGAACAAATGATAATTTCAAGAGGAAACTATAATTTTCTTGCCGATAACTGTGTTATTGACAGAACTAAATAATTTCGAGGGGACAGTTTTTTTTGGGAAAAAAATATTCTTTCCTCGTCAGTATATTTTTTCTATGGTATAAACCTATGGAATTCTCTCGGAATAAATAATTATCGTACAATAGATTATATTTTTTCCTACCAACAGTTCGAATTCTTCTAGGGATATTTCTGATAATCACGACGAAAAGTTAATTTTCGTAAAAGATTAAATTTCTTTCTATCGAATTGGTCAATTTCCCGCAAGTAAATCTGTTTCACTCTATTAAATATTCTCACGTGGCAGAGCTAATCTTTTCGGACATGAACATGTGTCTTTAATCAATTTTCAGACATAGATTTCTTCGCAGTAATTTTAAATGAAAGAAGTGGATACACAATTTTTTGTCATAGCCTTTGTTGTCCACTGAAACCACACTGTTAGAACGAAATTGAGATTTCATTGACATTCGCATTGAAAGGGTCAAATTGAATGCGATTTAAGGGAGAAAAAGTCATAAAATTTCAGATGCACAAAATTATGAAGAACTTTCAATTGAAAATTACAATGTTAATGAAATTAATTCAAAATTCAAGAAGATATTTACGGGAATTTTCTTCATTTCTACTAATTTTCAGGGAATAATTAAGCTGAAAGTCACAGTTCTCATGATTTGTGCCATGAAATTTTGAATTTTCAAAAGCGAAATTCCCCGAAATTTCCGTAAAACTAAACGTTTAGTCAAAGAATTAGACTTCAGTAGCGAATCGGTAAACCGGGTTAAGTAAATTTTGATTATTAGCCAGTTTTTGACGAATATCTCAGAACCTGAAAGAGATAGAAAAATTTTTGTCATCACCTTTTTCGTAGAGCCAATTGAGGGTTATGAAAAAGATCATGAGGAAAATTTTGCTGTCTCTCTTAGATTCCGAGATATGTATCAAAAACTGACCAAAGGTAAAAATCGACTTGACCCGTTTTACCGCTTCGCTACTGAATTCTTGAAATGCGCATAATCACCCAAGTTTCAATGTTGTTTTCCCATCCGACTTATTATCTCCTCCGGAGCCGGTCGTTATTTGCTCAATCGTAACAGTTGATTTTGAAGAACTACTCGATCTGCCCATGGCTACGTGGAAAATGCTGGCGCCCTCCTGAGAAAATCAGAGTACAATTTGACTAACATCCTAAGATTGCCTTCAACCAAGAATGCCTCTGATATTTCATGAAAGCTCGCTCACCGAGAATATCGTAAAAACTTCTTTAACCCCGTCCATAGCCTTTTCGGACTCGGTGAGGGACGGGAGCCTGAATATAACCACATGCTCGTCCTCAGTGCTGGAGCTCTCCTCCGGTATTGTCTCAGGAAAGACCGTGTCTTTTGGTGAGGACACCCAGTTGCTCTCCTCCTCTCCTTTCGCAGAAGATGGTACATTTTGTTCTGAAAAACATATGCTGACTGTCTGACTCGGCGGGCTGTCAGTCTCCCGGAAGTCCTCGCTCTTCTGCTTCCGGATTCCTACGAAGACATCGCTTGGCGCCTGCTGTCTGCCCGTCCTCGAGGAGTTCCACCAGATGGATCTTGGCTTAGGTCTGCAGTGAGCAGTGAAACACGAACTCTCGGGGTGTCTGTATTCACTCATCGGCTGCCAAATCTTGACGCCATTCTCCAGTCGCAGATTTGTCTTGAAGTCGATGTCCTTGAGGTGATTGCTGAGTGGTGCGAAAAGGTATACAAAGAGCTGGAAGATCCATTTGAAGGATAAGTGTTCGTCTTTGAAACTGAAGGATGTGATTTGCATTGGAGTTACGGAAATTATGTGATTAGTTCTACTTGGGCTCCCTCATTAAGGATATTCAAGTACTTAGACTATTTGGGTTGCTTCCGAAGGGAAGCTTTGTAATCGCTCAAATTCAAGTTGTGGATTTGTTGTGTTATACCGACCCTGTGCGATCCAAAAAATCCGAAAATGCAATTGTCGACCTCGTCCATACGTGCGTGTATGTGTGTACGTATGTAACAAAGTTTTTCTTCAATTGTTCGCTAATGGATGGATGGAATTGAATCTTTTTTGTCAAATGTAAGTATTGTTCAGCCCTATCAATCGTCATTAATTAAAATTTAATTCATCGATTAGTTTTTTTAATTTTCGATTTTGTTCGAAAATCGGTTGTCTCATGATAACAAAAAAAATGTTCTGAATTGATTGAATGATAGCTTAAAAAATTTGTTTGGATGTCCTTTTGACCATGTTCGAAGATGAAGGCGATAATAATAATCGTCATTTTGACTTATTTGAAAATTAGCAAAAATTTTGTATTTTTTGAAAATCAGAATGCCGGGGACATATTTGAATATCATGCTTCAAATGAATTCAATCATAGCTTAAAATGTTTGTTTTCATGCCATTATGTAAGAGTTAAAAGATGATTAGGATGGCTATATTGGTTGATTTGATTTTTATGATGATTGTTAAAAATTTCGAATTTTTCATGAATATCCGTGAAAGTGAGCTTTTTGATGATTTCTTCAAATGTGATGTTTCAAATTCATTCAAGTATGTATAAATAGAATTTTTCTATTTACATTTTATCGAAGGGCTGAGGGGAGAGATAGAACCGTAGAAAAAACAATCGGTTGTAAAGAAGGAAGGGATAATAAGAATAATGATGATGATAAGATTCAACTAAACTGAAAATCTGACAAAATTAGTTGAAAATAAATCTTATTCAATTTAATGAAATGAAATAAACAATGAATTCCTTCTATCATGTATAATTATACATGATAGAAGGAAATGATGTGCAAAATAAACATTCGAAAGTATATCGCTCATTGATTAGCAAAAATAACTATACTGTATGCAATGCAAGAGCAATTTTCCACTTGTTTTCAAATTTTCCTTACGAAATTAAATTGACAAATTTGATGATTAAAAATGGTTGAATCTACAATGTGGTCTATACCAAACTATAGAAGATACTTGAATATTCTTCAGATAGTGAGGGAGAGCCTTTTTTAAAACATCACCAGCTCCGAAAGCCCCCAAAAACTTCAAAAAATGATCCCAAAACGATAATTACCGTGATGGTAGGTACAGAATAAAAATAGTAGAATGGATTATTATGAGTTCCCATGTCGGAATCATTCTCGGCGCACTCCTCAGCAGCGTCAAGTAGAAACCAATGTAGAATGTAGAGCAGAGTTGTCTCCATCGGTCCAATATTCTGCACATCCTTTCTGCAATAATCAACGAAAAAGAACTATCACCAAAACCGCACTTCACCCATAAACACAACAGCTGTGTCTCGGAAAATTTCATCGACATGGACACCTGTTGTGCAGAAGATTGGCCGCCGAATGGAGAACATAGGGAAGGGCTGTCTGGATCAATCGCCACCGTGGGACATTGCTCAGAATCTCGGTTAAGGAGGGCGTCAGCTCGTTGTGAAGACTCTGGACGAGCACCTTCTCGAATGACTTGTAGAAAATACGTCGGTTATCACTCAAACATCATCAACAATGGGAAGCGATAATACACTAGGAGAAAGAATTAGCTCTGCCGAAAAACTATATGCTCCACGTGAGATTATTTGAGGGAGTGGAACAGATTTACTTGCAGGAAATTGACCAATTCGATAGAAAGAAATTTAATATCTTTCATGAAAATTAAATTTTTGTCGTGATCATCAGAAATATCCCTAGAAGAACTCGAACTGTTGGCAGGAAAAAATATAATCTATTGTACGACAATTATTTCATCTGAAGAGAACTCCATTGGTTTATACCATAGAAAGAATACATTGACGAGGAAAGAATATTTTTTTACCAAAAAAAAATTGCCCCTCGAAATTTTTTAGATCTGCCAATACCATAATTTTCGGCAAGAACATTGTAGTTTCCTCTTGAAATTATCATTTGTTCCATGAAAATTATAAGTGTTTATTGGACAAAGATATACACTACTCAATAACATTCACTTGATACAACCGAAGCCTCATATAATTCTTTGTAGAACGAATATATTCACCCGAAAGACATAAAAATGTCTCACGAGAACAATTACTACCACGAAAATTATCATGTTTTGGTGGAGACTTTCATTTTTGTCCACGAGTAAATTGATTCAACACGACAAAAGATCTCTTCAGGGCAACACATAATTTTTCGGCAGCACAAATTTTTTCCCTTCTTACAGTCGAGAGCTTTACTGTACTTACAGTGCTAGCCTCTTTCATTTCCTGCAGCCATCGTGAAAAAGAAAAAACCACGAATTATTCCGATTAAAAATAGTGCATTCAGGAGAGAGTATCAAAGCCTTTCTCCGAAATTTCACTTACGTGATGACCAGGAGCCCGTTGACAAAACTATCCGCCAATCGCCGCATGAAAGAATGCACCCCATTAGCCACATCTCCCCAAATGACTCACAACAACCACAATAAAATATAACGAAACAATAGAATCTCTTGAATTAGACTTCTATTCATCCAAGTACAAACAATCACAATTAGCCGATCAACTCCCGTCCCTCGATATCCGGATTCTCCGTTATCGACTATTTCCCATTGTTCACACAGTATTATACCTGGTAATACTGTGGGCCATTTGTCCATTGGACATTACACAGTCTCAATACCAATTCATTCATGCACATCCCTTTGAAATGTCACCACCGGACACGAGATGATGTTACAATAATCTTCGAAAGCTTACCATGCACGACGCCTCGTGGAGTTTGCCAAGCTTGGCCCTCGTGAAAGGTCTGAAAGAGCATAACAAAGGTCTCCATAAACCCCAAACAATCCTTCAAATACTTCACAACTATTATCTCGTTTTGCGTTTTAGGTTACTTGCCTCATCTGACGCCAGAGGTAGAGCTGGATGGGAATGGGCAGAGCCTGCTCAAGCAGGCTCCCATCAACGGACCGTCTCTTGTCCATCCTGACGATGTCGTCAGTATCATTAACTATAAATACTGCAAAACAAACGAAATAAACCCCATTCGTTAAATCATTACCCGGAGTTTGAGTGAAACCCTCAGAATGCGCCCGAAAAATTGGCCTTACCCAAACGAGCAGCAACGACTCGACGCGGGCAAGCCAGGGTAATACCTCGACTCCAGCTCCATGGTGACTCCTCGCGGTTGACTGTCACTCTTCATCACTGTTTTAATGCCATCATGACATCACCAAAACATCATCATCACCCAATCACCTGATAACCACACTCAGCGGTCCTTAGCTTTTCATAACTCAGCTTGTCTGGTGCTCGACAAGTGTAACCAAACTATCAATTAACAAAATCGACACGTTATTGGTGCACGAACGATGGACTTAGCCAGTGATAACTCATCACAATACACTGGTGTTGAGCCAAAAAGCCGCCAACCGACAACTGATTTTTCATTCCAAAGGGACTCGCCAAATCCACGTAATAGCCAGATGACAACTGCGAGATTATTCGAGTGACCAATTTTTTACTCGACGAATGTTGGTGAGAAATCACGTGCGACACTCGGCCTAGTGGCACACTTCTTTCGGCATTTTGGGGGGTGATTGAAAGCGCATGAGTCGGCGGTGGAGTCGGTGGTGTGAGAGGAAGATGCAGGAGACAACTCCAGACGGGGGGATATGCCTGGTGCAAGCACTGGTGGTGGATGAAAATGAAAATGAAAAGTGTCACCACTGCTGAGGGGGATTGTCAAGACTATGGGGCTTCTGGCTGATGGTGGTATTGGCGATGAGACTTTGGAGTGCGCGCGCGACTCTCTCGCTCCTCTTTTAATACCCTTTTTTCCACTGTTTAGGGCTTTATTTTTTTTAAGGAGGGGTTGAGGGGCGAGGGTGCAAATCCAATGCGCCGTCGTTCATCGATCAGACTGTGGAGTCTGCTGGACCAACCCTCGTGCCGGGTTTCGCTGGAACATTCAACCCCGCCGCACCTTCGTCTGGGGGNGGGGGGGGGGGTGGGCGTGCGCACGCATGAGGGAGAGATTTTATGGGGAGGGGGACAGTCGCCTGGGCAGATGCCGATAAATGCTGGGGTTGGAGGAGTCTCGAGGCGGGGGAGTGGAACAGCTGATTTCGGGGAATGTTTGGATTTATTTCGATATTTTGGGGAGAATTAAAATCCTTAAATCTGCACGCACGAAAGAATTTAATATAAAAACCTTAGCACCGACGGCGGTGGCTGTGTGGTTAGAGTGTGGGATTGGCGTGCGGGAGACCCGGGTTCGATTCCCGGCTACGGGGGCCAAAATTTGTGACACTCTAAATCTCACGGTTTCATTGTCGAGTGGGAA